TAATTTTAAGAACATATTTATATTGAATTAATATATTTAAAAAATTAAATTATTTTTAAATATTTATTTTAAAAGTTAAGCTTTTAATTTAAAATATAAAATAATACTTATTTATCAATAAACTTAACATAGAAAATTGATAACCATAGTTACTTATTCTTCAAGGGGTCCATAATCCTACTTATTGCTTGGCTTACCTTTATCCATTTCCATATATGCGTGGGTATGGGGTTGGTCGTCTACTTCATTTCCAATCAAAGTGTCAATGGTTGAAAGTCTAACATTAAAGTCATATTTTATAATATTTTTTCTTAATTTCACTTCCCTTTTATTTTTTTAATCATTTTTAATCGCTTAATATAGGTTAAATGTTAATTTTAGTCCTTTAACTTTAAGATTTTGCACAATTTTGACCTCTCAACTTTTTTATGCACTTTTTTTTGTTATTTAATTATAAAAAATGTATTTTTTTAGTTAATCCATTAAATTTATTTACATACACACATTTTTAATCCTTAAATTTTTTAGTTGAGGATGAAAAATGTGTATTTCTTATAAGTTGAGGGATGAAAAATGTGTATTTATTATAAATTAAGGGATTAAAAATATATATTTAAAAAGACTTAACAAATTAGTTGATAAAATTACTAAAAAAATAAATTTTTTGTAATTGAAAGACAAAAAATGCATAAAAATTTGAGGGACAAAAACAATTCAAAATTCTAAGTTGAAGGACTAAAATTGACATTTAACTTCTAACGAAGAAACAATTATTTTTAGTTTTTAACTTTTAAGTTGATAAATAAAAAATGTTATTTATTGTAAGTTGAGAAATTAAAAACATATATATTTAAACAAATTTAACAGGTTAATTGACAAAATAATTAAAATGTAAATTTTTTATAGTCAAAAGACAAAAAAAAAAGTGTATAAAATTTTAAGAGATGAAAATTATATAAAATTTTAAAGTTAAAAAAGACTAAAATTGAGAGTTAACCTTTAATACACCAACAATTTATAAGAAAATCAAATCAACTTAGGAGAACATGAAATACATATGACTAACAGACAAACCCCAAATCCAAATAGAATCGTGAAGAGCACTCAAAGGTTTTACCTAGCGTTAAGACTGGGAGGAGAATATCATGTTGGATGGCATTGGTGAGCTCATTCGTGTTGCACATGAGCATTGGCAGAATG